GACCCTCTGCCTCTGGACCCTCCTGGTTTCCTCCCTCAGCTGCTTAGCCTGAACCATATCACAGGTACAGACCTGCACAACTCCTCTGACAAGATCAACTGCATCCTGGCTAACCAAACTATCCCTCTCTGCAGAGAACCCTGTGTGACCAGTCCCGGATCTGTTTCCCAGCATCAGTTTATTAATATTGTGTTTTCCCAATAAACAGTAAAACTTTTCATCTGACTCCGTTTGTGTTCTGCATGTGGGTTAGGAACCTTAATCCCATAATGACAGGAACACTGTTTTTAATATTTTCATTGAAATAATTCAAAAGTAATTAGTGCTGGCAGATGGGGGGTCCTTGAAAAGTGAAACCATCTCTAACAAAAAGGCCGAAGCAGACCAAGGTTCACAGACGCTTCACCTCCACCATGAAAGGGAGCGAGGACTGAAACACAGCCTGAGCCCCTCGCTGTGGATCACACTCCATCATCCTCCCACACTCAGACACTCAGCGCTCTGACTGGTGTTGTTTGAAGTGATAAAAGTGTGATTAGAGCTCTACGCTCTGATTTGATCTGATAAACCAGGAAGTGAGACCTCCTCTGGTGGCTCTTGGATAAAATCCTCTTTAAAATGTTTCAGAAAAGCATTTGTCACATGCTTTGCTTAACGTCCAGCTTCCTATTCGCTCTGAGGTTAGCATAAACAAACATTATTATATAAGATGAAATGGGGGCAGGGCTGTGGATAGATTAGGAGTGCATGAACAAATCAATTAGAAGTGGCTAATTTAAAGAGAGCATAGAGGGACAGAAGTTCTACATCTGCTGGAGAAAAATGTCTGACCACTAGAGACCTAAAGCTCCACGTGAAAGAAGGCAGAAAAAGAGGAGGGCTGTGTGCGACTCACCTCTTTCTTGCGGTTCTTCAGCATGTTCTGGTACTTGGCCAGCTCTTTGTCCTGCTCGGCTTTGATGCGTTTGGCTTCGTCTCGCAGACGGGTGGTGTGCTCCTGCTCCAGCCTCTCTATGGTCTGTTTCTGCTGCCGCTCCATGTTCTCCACCTCCTGGTCGTACTGACGTTTCTTACTCTGTCAAACCCAAACCGTCACATCAGTTAGTCAAAGTAATGGGATTAACTCTTTGGAAAATAAGCCTAAAGGCCAATTTATGCATTTGACGCATAACCTCTGCAACCGTCAAATCTGTCTCTGTGCAAAAAAATCCTGACTACGCGTCGGACAGTCGCAAACCCGCGCAGACCTCAAGCGGAAGTGCTCAGACAAAAAGAAGCTTTGATT